TATAGGTGCACTAGTTCGGCGAAGAGATGAAGATACAAGTGCAAAATAGATAGTAGATAAAGATTTTTGTAATCTGAAATAATAAAAACAGCAAGGTAACAAGCGATAAAAGTGAGCGTAAACGGTATTGCAATGATAGGAAACAAGGCCTAGGGTTCATACTTTCACTAGTGTAAGTTCTCTCAACAATAATAACATAGATAGAACATATGACAAGCCCTCAACATGCAACAAAGAGTCACTCCAAAGACACTAATAGCAGAGAACAAACATAGAGATTATGGTCGGGTACAAAACCACCACAAAGTTATTCTTTCGGATCGATCTATAAAAGAGTTCGTACTAGAATAACACCTTAAGACACAAATCAACCAAAACCCTAATGTCACCTAGATACTCCATTGTCACCTCAAGTATCCGTGGGCATGATTATACGATATGCATCACACAATCTCAGATTCATCCAACCAACATAAAAGTACTTCAAAGAGTGCCCCAAAGCTACTACCGGAGAGTCAAGAACGTGTGCCAACCCCTATGCATAGGTTCCCAAGTGTCACGAAACCCGCAAGTTGATCACCAAAACATACATCAAGTGGATCAATAGAATAACCCATTGTCACCAGGTTATCCCACGCAAGACATACAACAAGTGTTCATAAAAGACTCAATCCGATAAGATAACTTCAAAGGGGAAACTCAATTCATCACAAGAGAGTAGAGGAGGAGAAACATCATAAGATCCAACTATAATAGCAAAGCTCGGGATACATCAAGATCGTGCCATAGAAGAACACGAGAGAGAGAGATCAAACACATAGCTACTGGTACATACCCTCAGCCCCGAGGGTGAACTACTCCCTCCTCGTCATGGATAGCGCCGGGATGATGAGGATGGCCTCCGGTGATGGGATCCCCCTCCGGCAGGGTGCCGAAACAGGGTCGCGATTGGTTTTTTGGTGGCCACAGAGGCTTGCGGCGGCGGAACTCCCGATCTATCTTCTGTTCTGAAAGTTTTAGGGTACATAGGTATATATGGGTGCAGGGGGTACGTCGGTGGACCTCCGGGCTGCTCACGAGGTAGGGGGCGTGCCCAGGGGGGCGCCCTCCACCCTCGTGGGCAGCCCGGGACTCCCCTGGCGTGCACTCCAAGCCCATCAGGTTGGTTTCCTTCCAAAATTAACTTCTCCAGTTGATTTCGTTCCATTTTGACTCCGTCTGATATTCCTTTTCCTCGAAACACTGAAATAGGCATAAAACAACAAATCTGGGCTGGGCCTCTGGTTAATAGGTTAGTCCCAAAAATAATATAAAAGTGGATAATAAAGCCCAATATTGCCTAAAACAGTAGATAAAGTAGCATTGAGCAATCAAAAATTATAGATACGTTGGAGATGTATCGGGGGGGCAAGGGCGTGCGTCGCGGCCGTCCGTGCGCGTCCGTTTGACCCCAAACCGAGTGCAACTTTGGGCCGGGGATGGGTCGAAAACGGACGGACTCCGGACATTTGTCCGTTTGAGGCCGCGCGTTGGACCGCGCTATTCGTCCGTTTTACCCCAAACGGACGCACCCGGACAAGATGGGGTCGCGCGGTGGAGTTGGCCTTATGTGTATGAACATGCCATGTCTATGTATCAAGTGAAAACTGCTTTTCAGTGAAAATCTGGAAACTTTTCGCGTGGGTCATCGGATCAGTAATGAACGACACAGATTGAAGGTGGGATCCCTAACCTTCCACTTAAATGCTAATTAGCGGATAACCCCCTGTTATCCACCGATAAGGTAGATCTTTTGAGTGCTCGTGACTGTATCAGTTCGGCTTCCATCTCGTGCGCTGCGGCGGCGATGGAGTCCCCGGCCGTTTGCCCTCTGCCGGCCCCGACAGGGCCTCCGTCGACGGTAGGCTGGACCTTCACCGGGCTGCGGCCCACCATGATTTGCCCTTCTGCCCTCTGCCGGCCACGACTCACCCTTCGAAGCATGAAGATCCGATAGATTCTCATCTACCTGCACAAAGAGCTCGTTGCCGCGCCAGTGAACTTGGCCGCAGTTCAACGGGCAGGCAACAACATCAGTACATGCGTGATTTTTTTTGGCGGCCAGATGTTGCCTCTTCTTTCCCGTGCCGATGCTCGCTGCCATGGTCCACATCAGGAGATCAAGCAAGCAGAAGTAGTAAAGTAGTAAGTCATCCATCATACTAAAATGAATAAAGATACAACTTCCATTGTTTCGAAATACTACAGTCGATAAAGTTGTACAAAAGCATCAAATTTCTGCAATGTAATGAATAATGACAATCAAATGCACATGTTTATCCTTGTCAAAGTTTCTAATCCTGCTATGCAACCTTGAAAACAACCTGTTCTGCATCGTTGAGTACTATCATACATCCACGGATTACATCAGAAATTGTCTACACAGAATCTCTACGGTGGCCAAATTGCCGCATTCAGTTTTTCTTAGTGAAATTAGAGCTTCTATTATTATCACTGCATGTTCAAGTCATGTTGAAATGCTGCATATAAGGGAGCAGTACACCAGTGTTGAAAAAACGGAGCAGTACACCAGAGACATGATGAAGCCTAGTACAAGATGCAGATTGGCCGTGTGGTCTGCAGCCATGTTCACAACTCTTTTTACATAAGATAAAACAAAATCAGAAAAGCTCCCACTAAGCTGCTGCAAAATGCTCAATATATATTGTTTTTCTTCATCTTCCACAGCTTAGACTAGCTTTTGAAATTGGTTCTTGCCACACAATGTTCAGGATTAAGCTATGCTCATACGGCTTTTGCCACATTCATTCAGTACAACTAGGCCGCTTCAGAATCAAAGCAAAGTGCAAGCGTAGCCGAGTCTGACGCGTCACCGTCACATGGAGTTAGTGCCGAAATAGCCTGATTGATGTTGCCTGGGGCAGTGCTGCGGCCGTCGGATCACTGTTTGCGTGAGGCATCACTGGGTGGCCGTAGCGTGGAGCAACACCGGGGACTCCAAATCGCCCTCGAGTCGGGGAAGAGCAGTTGTTGCCTGCCCGTTGATTTGCGGCCAAGTTCGCCGGCTCCGCGGCAAGATCCTTGTGCAGGTAGACGAGAATCCGGCGAGATCTTCGCGTTCCTAAGGGTGAGTCGTGGCGGGCGAAGGGCAAATCGTGGCGTGAGTTGTGGCCGGTGGAGGGTGATCCGCAGCCCGGTGAAGGTCCAGTCTAGCACCGACGGAGATCCTGTAGCGGCCGGCAGAGCGCCAGGGGGCCGGAGACTCCATCGCCGCCGCAGCGCACGAGATGGAAGACGAACTGATACAGTCACGAGCCCTCAAAAGAATTTCCACCTTATCTGTGAATAACAGGGGGTTATCTGTTAATTAGCGTTTAAGTGGCAGGTTGGGTTTCCCACCTTCAATCTGTGTCGTTCATTACAGATCCGATGATCCACGTGAAAAGTTTCCAGATTTTCACTGAAAAGCAGTTTTCACTTGATACATCATGTATCTATTGTTGTTATTTTTACTTTTGCTGATCGATGTTGCATGGTTTTGTATGAATTTGATGATTCGGATACGGGGGCACAACCGCTGCCGTCCGTGAACAAACAGGGAGTCATTTGAAGATGCAAGTACGTGGACACTGCCACAGATCTGGCATTTCTGTCGACACTGTTACACATGCTCGTCAGTTTCGCTACCCCACAGGTCATCAATTCCCGTTTCATGATGCACGCAGACCCCTCCTTTTGGCACTGCCAAGATCCGGCACAGGTGAATGGGATCCAATCGACCACAACATGTAATCACTTTATTCTGGATGTCGTGTCGATGGAACGAACGGATGAGAAAAAGGGAACGTACGCGTGCATGCATCGGCCAGCCAAGAATCAGGACACAGATCCCTGAAACTGCATCGATATCATGCACCACCAACCGAGCCTCCACGAACTGGGAGACAGGAGACTGATGAAGAAGAAAAGCTCCTGAAATCATAAGAGGCAGGAAGAGAGGACGCATGCAGGTGCACTATGCTGCGCCCGAGGAGTCAAAAGCTGCATGGATCTTTGCCATTTGGTTTCGGACACGAGTTTCTTATTTAGGATTTCTGCCACAAATGGATCCAAGTAAAACTTCACACGTTGCTAAAAAAAAAGAGTAAAACTTCACACTATTTTGTTTTGTGACCATAGGTTACAAAGAAAACTTCAGAACCTTGAAAAGGAGAGAGAAGTCATGGGCTTCAATGGCAACAAATACCACCCTACTATCCAAACTGAAGGCGTTTCTGCCGAAACAAGATGCAAAAGCCAAGAGCAAGCCGTTGCCGCTTCAGGATGTACGCAGCGTCCAAACGGAACAGCTGTAAGTACTCAATCTCTCAAAGAATAGTGTCAAAAAACGTCTTACATTTTGAGACAGAGGGAGTACATGCCAATGTTGCTTTCGATTGAGTAATACAGGAAGCTTGCAAAATATCAAACCACAAGATCAACAGCACTATAAACGACAAGGTCCCAGACCGATTAGTAAAACAAAACTTTACTCAGTCTCTTATTATTACTCCCTCTGTTCGGAGTTACTCGTCCAAGAAATGAATGTATCTAGATGTATTTTAGTTGTAGATACATCCATTTTTATTCATTTTTGTGACAAGTAATTCTGAACAGAGGGAGTACATGTGTAAAGTGCAGGCCTCAAAATCACAAGTATGCACCGTGCTCACTGTTATGGAGTTATTGACAGATCGTAAATTACAGACGAACTGGCCAACGGTCCAGGTGTAGTACAGTTTATATATAGGAAATAAACGGAGCCGCCCAAGCTACATAGCCGACAATACTTATCTCGAAACTTCCAGAGCGCAAGAGTACTGGAGTAGATAAACTTGCCCGTGCATGGTTTACACGAAAAAGCTGAAAGACACCAGACAGTTTGAGCAGGTAGGCCTTCTATATCGCACTTCAACTAGTGAGAGACAACGAGGAAGCTAATGTTTGCTAACTGAACTGCACTAGTGGTGGGAAGTAAGGAAATCAATGGTAGCTTTTAGCCCATGGATGAAGGCATCCACCTCCTCTTTTGTGTTGTAGAAGTGAAGACTGGCACGGGCGCTCGCATTGATACCAAGGGTGCGATGCAAAATCTGTGCACAATGATGCCCTGACCGAATCGCTACGCCATGCTGAAACAAAATAGTCAGCATATATCAGTTCTATATTGCTAGTACTAGCGGACATATTTCACAAAATCCATCACAATAAGACAGCAATTTGACCAAACAATCTATCGTCAGCAGTTCTTTTTCTATGTCAACATGGGGCAACTAATGCCTCTGGAAAATGAGATCTCTCACTATGCCTGGCACTTGCCTCACCAAAAATCTACACCTAATGTTAAGAACCATATGTCATATGATGTAAACAGATCTAGAATTCTACCCCCATTTAGACTGCAGTTGAAATTAAGCAACATAGCTGATTAAGAGCAGTTCCTAGATAGATGAGTAATACCAAAAACGCATATGCTGGAAAATACAAAATTCCAAGGAAAGTTCCTTTATGGAATCTAATAGAGAAGCACAGAGCTAGCATTGGGGCAGTACAACTATTGCTAAAAAACAGAACTAGCATTTGCATCTGATTTAGTGGTTGAAACATCAGCATACCTGGAGATCAAGAATTTCAGCAATATCTGTTGGATGAACATTCTCAACATTGAAAGAACATAAAGGAGCACGGTGATCACTTGCAGAAGGCGCCGGGCCATAGATACGAACATTTGGAACAGAGAGAAGGCTCTCATAAAGGTACGACCCCAACTCTTTCTGGATGACAGAAAAAGACAGGTGAGGCGCTACATAGGGATAGTTCTCCAACCCTTTTCGGAGAGCAGAATAAGCAGAATCGTAACAATAGCACAGAGACTAAAGTATACATAATAAAAGAGGTAAAATAATGAAAGAATTTATACTGACCTCATACTCGTGGATCCTCTGCATGCCAAAGTGTGACAGATAATCTATCGCAACTCCCAATCCTATAGCCTCTCCAATTGCAGGAGTTCCAGCCTCAAATCTTTTCAGAACACATTACAGTTAAAACCAACAAAAATAGAATCTTAAGTGCAATATAAGGTTGACCTTTCTCAGTTGCCCTAGCAAACAATGTGAAGCAGACACAAATTTTAACAACTGTCAAGGGAACTTTTTGAAGAAAACGTATAATGGAACTGTAGAAACAAATTAAAATTGCAACATATCTTTACTTCTATAAACAAACCAGTTGGTGGTGATGGTGCGTTTGCTCTAAGGTCACACGAACTGTTCAATTTGTTACCAATGGTAAGATTGAGATGGCATTGCCAACCACTCACTTAAATTCATTTCGCAAAAAGCCCTGATCTAGTATGAATTTGTGGGGATACACTGAGTAGCGCCGCAATTCAGCAAACAAATTAGTCCTATAAACACGCCCGTATGAATTTTTTGTAGTCTGTAGTAACACATGTCTTTCTAGCTAGTTGCTTTAAGATAGATGAATCATGTTTTTCACTTATCTGAATTTCTGGTACAAGTTATCTTGTGATATTCTTGTTCCACTTTTAGTTGGCAATTGATCAGTTCCTATAACAAGGCACGAGGAGTGAGTTCTCACTAACTAGTCAACGGACATTAGGAGGAATAGCAGTCAGCTAGAAGGCCCCACTGGCAGCGAAGAGGACCCTGCAGTGGCGTTGCACCTGCAGGAAGAGCAGGTGCTTGCAGGGTGGCTGCGTCCCTGCAGGCTGCAAGAGGAGCAGGAGCTGTTCTCCCGGTCCTACGGAAACAAGTGGTGACAGCAGCTCAGGATGAGAGCAGAGGCGGCGTCATGAAAGAGTAAGGCAGCGGAGGCAGGTGAGATGGAGGTGGTGGTCTGGAAGGGATAGTTGCCAGGATTATGCGAGGGGAAGCAAATGACATCGATCAATCAGGAGGAATAACATGTGTATGCCTCTTCTGATACCTTGTTAGGAGGAATAACATGTGTATTCCATGAGGCTCTAGGCCAGTATACATCACATGTGGAGGTGTTCTTTAAGGATACCTAGACAGCTACACTACATATCTAACCTGCGAAACATTATCATTGACTGTGATTCTAGATACATGTAACAATCCACTCTACATGAAGTAAGTTTTATCACTCTCGCTATTGTATTATTTTGTACTCTCTTTGTTCACAAAACTTGATAGCATACAGTGACAGATATGAATTAGTCTAGAAAGATCAAAACAAATAGAACTTGCTTCCTCACCTAGAAGGCGGCTCAGCATATGTAGATTTGTCTTCGAACACATCTGCAATCATTTCACCACCACCTACAAAGAAACTATTATTCTAAGACTATAAACATAAATATCTTTCTCTTAAATAGGAAGGCTCTGTTTCAACAAGAGGACCTAACTAACTAATTTATCCTCCAAAGTAGGGAACATTGCTTCTGCCTTACAGTATCTTACCTAAGAAAGGCTCCATAGACGACAAGATCTCAAATTTTCCATGCAAGAATCCGACGCCTGTAGGGCCACACATCTGAGAAGTTTAGCCCATAACTTGTAAAGGTCATTTTGCTGTTCTGGAAAGACTATGAATTTGTTGCTAGCAGAAAATTGATAACACAAACCTTATGCGAGGATGCAACAAGAAAATCTGCACCAAGCTTCTGAACATCAACAGGCATATGAGGAACACTTTGACAAGCATCTACAAGAACTTTAGCTCCAACTTTGTTTGCACATGATACGACCTCCTCAATAGGAAGCATTGAACCTGGTAATGACAAAGGAATATAATATAGTTGTTCTCAGTAATTATTCTCTCTAAGACAGAAATAACATGGATAAAGTTAGAATGACAGGACCCAACCATTGAACATTTGCCATAAAACTACCCTTTGTTGTCATAATTCGTAACTCGTCATCGTGAGATAATGGAAATAAATGAATGAAGTCAGATGCTACAATTACCATGCTCACCTAGCTCTAATATCCTTTCATTAAGAAAGGCATCTCATTTACACTTGCC